GAATTGTCATGGAAGAAAGCATTAATTGCTTCAATAATTGTGTGAAAAAATTGACGTAAAAATTGGAATTTTTTCAAACTGATATAATATCTTAATAAAACGATAATCGAACTGCGGTTAGCACGATTTTTACGCGAATTAATTTTTAATGTTCGGATTACGTTATCATAAATATACCATAGAAATAAGTCTCATTTAGTCGTAACAATGGCAATGTATTGATAATGCTCAGTTTTCCACAAACATGGCAAATTGCGGTTTTTTATTTGATTTCCTGAAAGCTTATTATTGTCCATTATCACTTCATTCTGTTAAAAAAATTTGTGCGATTTTTCGTTTTTAATTTTATTGTGAAATATTTATCAAGCAAATTATTTAACTAATGTAAGTTGATTTATAAACAAACTTTTAACCATCGCGAGCTCTTCTTTGGTTCTTTTGTCAAATTCCTCTGTCTGATTTGAATGTTGAAAAACTTGCTTATCTGCCGTTATTTTATAATTAGCAGTAGACGAAACACCTGAATGATACGTCTGAATTAGATGCCATTGACATCAAACTTCTTCACTTATATAAAGCATATTCTTCGATGACTTGACTAAGGCATTTGATCATATCAGGCATCAAACACGCATTGAATAGCTGAGACTTTTTGATCCAAATATTTTATCCGTCGTCTCATTTCTTCTATACTATAGCATTCTCTCTCATCTTGAAGAAAATAGGTATAATTTGTTAATGTTTTTCTAGTAAATTGGCTTCTCAAAACGTATTTTGTTTTTCTCTGTTCGTATTTTCACGTTGCGAAATAAATTTTAAAAAAATTTCTTTTGTAACAAAGGGATTTACAACTGCTAATTTAGTGATCTAAAGTTAAATCTTCCACGCAATTTGCAGGATCGCGTAGAGAGGTAAGTAAACTATTTGCAATTAATTGCTTCCAGGTGCGGTAAATCTTTCTAATATATTCAACTAAACTGAATTTACTCTATTTGCAGCATTATAAATTTTGTTTTCTGGAGCAGCAGTTACGTTTTCATTCGGATCGTAGATAACCATTTTATTTAATGGTTGAATTCTGATTAATTTTTCAATATTAAATATTGTTTGTATATTTTCCAAATAATAAAAAATAAACCTTTCTAACTAACATTAGAATATTGCCCCTTGTCTGGATGGATATATTCCTGTTATTTATTATAAAAATTAAATTATTTTATAGTGAATGTAAAGTGAACAGTAAAGCAAGAACATAATATTTTTTGTAAAATTGTGTTTGTTTCAGATGCATCATAAAAACGAATTAATGTAATAATGCTTCCGTTATTCAGAAATTTGAACCTTTTTGAGCCTTAACTCGTATGGCTTCCGATTTACAGAATGTATTTTGAGGCAAATTCAATTTATTATACATATTGATACAATTTATATAAAACTTTATTATAAATCTAGTATATAATTTTTTAATCAGTGCTCACCTTCATTCCAATCCATCAGTTTTGGCATAGAAAGAGCGAACTTGATTGAATACTGATTAACGCATTAATAACTTTAACAGAATTACCATTTTGAATGCGTTGAACAAAGCTAACACTGAACACTCGTTTTCATTGTTTTAAAATTTTGCAGCAAATTGCAGGATTTACTGAAAAAATAACTGGTAACTGAAAAACTGAGTTTTCAGTGAGAAACTAGTTAAAACATGGGCATGAGCCTTTGGAGTGCAAAAAGCCTTCTCGAATTAAATTTTCTCGCAAAAAGCCATTTAACAAAATGAAGGTGGACATTGTAATTTGCGATTATTTATCACTGTTAGATATCAGGTGGATAACTAAGTGGCAACATCCGATATAAGCTTTGCATACCTACTCATTGTTGCAATAAGTTTCGCACAAGCTCCTGGGTGGAAACATTAACTTAAACCGTAAAAATAAAAGGCTCAGTCGACCGTTTTCTATAAGTCAAAGGCATTGCTGAGCTCGTAACACTCACTGCAATAAATCGAACGTGGACCGCCTTCAGGAATTACTCTCTGTGTCAGTCGGCTTTTTCCTTTTTATTACAGATTATCTGCTAAAATAAATTTTCCGCTCGGTATTTTTGCTGTGAAACAGGACCGAACTTGTCGCAAATCCCTATGAAATTATGCTGGCTAGCCAAATAATATGAATGTTCGTTTTTACAATATTTTCTTGTTGTCCTGTTGCAATTTTGTTTACTGCTTCTAAATGCTATTGAAATTCGTGTCCTATTCCATAAGCAGAGGTATAATCAGAATAGTATTGCGATTCAACCAAAATATTTGTCCTCTTCGTTAGTGTCGAAAAGTATTACTTAAATACTTTACAGCGTTACAACAGCGGAAAAGTGTACATTTGAGCACGAATGTCTAGAGGCAAAGCTTTGATTCAAAACGGAAAAGCGGTTCTAAAAAATTGGGTAGTTTAAAAAAAATATATTTTTAGCCAAATCATAAAGATCCAGAAGAACATCACCGATGACTCCAATCCAAACATGCATTCGAAATTTCCTCTAAACGCAATTAATAGCCGCATATGAAGAATAGTTTGTGCTGGAAATTTTGCGAATAAAACATTTCTGGTAAAACCGGATGCATTTAATTAACGAAAAGACCCTGAAACTTTGCCCATTTTTTCATTATGATATACCATTTTGAACGGTTTCTCAGACTGCCTGAACTTAGTCAAAAGTTTGACTTTAATTTACTATAAAAATACATCATCGCTTACTTACTCTCTGAAGGTCTTGAATAGCAAGGAAACAGAAAATTACGGTTTGTCCAAAAACTATCATTAATACAAGATTCTCAAGAAGAAAGAGAAAGAGGTTGCAAATAGCAAAAAAGTCTGATTTATCCAGCTCCCAACGAAAATATTCTGCTAGTTTTTGTGCCAAGACACGCAGAATTGCCTACTTACCTAATGTGAATGGGCGCGATAGTTTCATCAAAATATGTCTTAGTTAGGAACAAATCTAGATACTTTAAATTTCAGTACAATTCGTCTTAACATTCTCTGGGAATGACTAAAAAAATTTTTTTCTCTAAATAAAAGTGCGGCCAGATCATCTTCTGCACCAGAGAATCTCGAACAAGACAAGTATATCTCGCAAATAAATGATTTAACTTTACCGCGAAAATGCCCGATTATTTTGGCAACAAAACTCCATTGATTCCTGGTTTTTATTTATTTTTTCTATGCAAATTCGTTACTAAAGTAAGAAATGTACGCTCACTCGACCATAAAGCCGCTAACTAAAGCTAATTATTTTTTCTTAAAATGACTTAATTCGAAAGCATTTCAAGCGATTGTGTTCGGTCGGCAAAAGTTAACGTTTTGGTGCGGCCGATGCCGTTTTTCTATGGTTAAAAGTGTCTGTTTTCAAATATTTGACTAATTTTCGAAATAAGATAGATCCATTAATTTTGCGGTTGTTAGTTGAACGGTGTTGTGCCGCCAGTTGCGGAATACTACAAAAACAACAAAGTTAAACATCAACACAATTATTTAATCTCATAAGTTCATATATGAATAGAAAATGTCACCGCTTTAATCCACCTAAAGTACCAAAGTGATTTTTTATTTCGATTCAAAAAAGGAAAAAAAGCTGACGAATATTTATGCGGAAAAAGTTTAAATTAATTTCGCCTCTCAAAATGCTTCCCGTAGAGAAATGAATCTGAAAACGGATGCATGACTGAAAATATGGATTACTCTGGCTTCCAATTAAACTGATTACCATATCAAGCGCATATCCATTTTCAATGCTGGGCATTATTGAATTTAAATTGCCCAACTTTCAATATGACTAGTTTTTCGTTGCAGTATGGATCGTAATAAAGGTTGAATTTGTAATCAGAAAAATGCATGGGTTTTGTTATTATATTTTTAATATTCATCACATGCATTTTGATAAACTTTTCAATAATAAATCGCATTTTGCGAATGGTCTTGCTGTTTACAGTTAGTACACATTACTAGTTAATAATACTTTTATTTAACTGGATTTTGTTGATTTAACTGCTGTTATTGAAAAAAATGCATATGAGATTCTTTCGAATAAATTTTTGTTGTTGTAGAGATTACGAAAAAAAATAAAAATCATGAGAATGTTTATATGAAAGCGCGTCTGTAACTCAAGTTTTTCAAATGTGTTCAAATCAATATGGTCCTCAAATTTTGTTATTAATTATGCCAGCCTACATTGTAGCTTTTTGGAGATTTTGTGTACGTCTTTCTCACTTTTGAAACTGTCGCTGCGCCAAAGTTGAAATTTTCTATGTTTAAATATAGCGTAGCTTCATCAGGGAAGATAATATTATAGACGGATTTATTATAATCTCACCCATTTATTCATAGAATTGTAATACTCTATCAAAATTATCCTCAGGAAGTTCCTGGACAACAAGTACCTACTTTATAGCGATTTTTTCTCTTAAATTTTTTTTTCATCAAATTTATTTGGCAAACAAAATTTTTATATTATGATTATCTAAGTGGCAAGATACTAAGTTCTAGACTTCTTATTCTAGATTAGTTCTTCTTTAAGAGAATTGTTAACAAATTTAATATTTTTACGTGAATTTAAATTTAACCTTTGATCATTTCCCATTATTTATTATTAAGCGAATATAACGTTTCTTTATTTTCGTAAAAGATTGCAATTTTTTCTTTTGCTTTCCAAGAGCGATTTGAAACTATTCACATTTACACATTTTGACAGCATACCTAATAGGAAATTATTTATCTGAAAATTCGCTGTTTTAAAAGCTAACGATTTGTATTTGTGTAAAATCTAGATATTAAAGATTGCATTAATTCCCAAGTAACTTTTAATTGCCCCGATTTCCCAATCAAATAATCCTCAGTACGTAGAAATTCGCATTTCAATACGTTCACACTAAACTCACCTTCTCATTTGCACATTTATATTACCAATGTAATCATCATTTAATTAATAACAGATTTTCTTTGTTCCAGAACTGAATGAGGTGTAAAAAGATGTAGGCGGATTATTTCCTAATATCGTTCAAACACCGAGACTATGCCTCCGTAAATTAACGGTAAGCAGTGCGATTTACAATTATAATATCAATAATTTAACCAATTCTTCGAGTAGGTGGTAATAATATGCTTCCGACGCTTCTGGTATATATATATTGCATCTGTTATTGCATGAATATAATAATGCCCGGCCGATGTTTATCAATTAGATCAGTAATACCTACACCATTTCACGTTTGCTGTGTTAGCAGGCTTACAGTAGTATAAAGTTACCCGAAAATGTAATCAAATGGTTTTTTTTTTAAGAAAGCATGCAGAAATCTTCAACTGAATATAAGTTTGAAATATAATTACTTACTTAGTTGGACTTCAAAGGTCTTCAAAATATGGTAGTTTTAACAGGCAGATATATCAAACTTTTTCAATTGGCAATTTGCTTATGAGCATTCAAATATTTAAATTTTAGAACAAACTCCTCGAATTCAATTTGAATGTAATGTCAGATATGTACGCTTTAAAAAGGGATGAAGGACTGCAAGGAACACAATTTTTAGTCAGTTTTGTATTAACGCACAGTGCGGCATTCAAAATGCTTAGAAGATCAATTAGAGCAAATGTTAAGCGATTTCCTTAGGATATTTTTCCATATTTATTTGTTTTGTAATATCTTTTTTCCAGTTTGATTAAAGTACCTCTGAAACAATTAATAATTTCATTTGGATACATGTCCTCATATTTTTATTTTTTTCCTAAATCATGGTATAGATTTACACAAAAATATTAAATAATTGTAAGGTTGCTTGCATTTCAGATCCTAGACTTTTTGTGCAAATATACAGTGTTTTCGTAAATAAGCAAGTGTATTTCATATTATATTTTTATTTGTAGGTTTATTTCGGAATTTCCTCAAACTTTCACAATAAAAATGTGTTTTTAAAATTCACATTGGTGGTTCACGTATTGTACAAAGTACACTTTACAAGGAATCATAAATAACTTTAGATTTTTGCTAATTTTTATGTTTGTGTTTCACCCAAATCTGTTTTACCAAACCAAAAGATAGGGCTAGACAAAGTTAAGTATAATTTTCGACAACAATACAAAATATAGCGTATTGCTTTAATTTGTGTTTTATACCTTGAAAACGTATGTAGACGTTTCAGCTTCTTTAAAAGTAATTTTACTTAGAAACGATGCTTAATACTTTTTTTCTTCTTTAATACTAAGAGGAAGACTTCCGCTTGAATCTTTACCTGGTAGAAACTACACAATAAAAAAAATTATTTTAAATTCATAAAACTTATTTTCTATCGCGTGAACTTCAATTTCTACTCTTTCTTTTAAGTAAAATTTGCTTAACATTTTTAATGCTTTGTCTCCTTTGTGTGCCTCTAATCAAATGTAGGGTACTTTTGTTACTCAACTTTTGCAATAATCACTCAAATATTCAAAATTGGCGCATTTTTAAGTATTTTTCTTTTGCGCTACTTAAATATAATGGAAATTACATACTCATTTGCATAGTTAGTAAACTGGTTATAAAATATAGAAAAAGTGTTAATCTCATCTCAAGAATTCCTGCCATTTTCTTTGTTGTCTCTGTCAACATCATTTTGAAACAAGTTTAAATTTGTTGAGTAAAAATTAATAGTTATTTATAATGGCCTAAACTAAAAAAAATTAGCTTCGAACGGTTCGGCTGTAAGAGATGAGAACAGGTCCAAAATTTAAATTGCGTGTCAACAAAAACTTGCTCAATTCTGTAAATTAATACTAATTTTCGGTAATTTTTGCATAAGAACCAAATGTAATTAGTAGTACAAAACATACTAAATGAGACATTAAAACAATCAAATAAACCGACTTTTTCTAACGTAGGTATGAGGAAATTGCTCCTTATGGATAGAAACCACTTGGATGTATCAAGATAATGTTAAGTGGAATTTAATTTGAAGAAGTACCATTCTGTTTGTTGAAAATAATGACGGCGGTTTTAATTGAGAGTGGGACTTTCATAAGGATAACAATGCAAAGAAGAGCCGCACCTTTTCTCACGAACAAAGATAGGCATTGACCGCGGTCGCCAAAGTCGTCGCTTCCTGTGTCTTTGGGAGCCTGCGAGACACAGAGAGACCCCCTCATTATTGACACGAAAACGAAGATTAAGGAATTCCGTTCTAGCCTCCCGCCATCATTTTCCATTTACAAGTTATGCGAAACCGCTCATTTCATTTAACAATAGGGTGAATTGTTGGTAGAAAATTGGTCTTTGGAACATGAAATTAATGGCTTTGAAATTTAGCGAATGTAAAGTAAACGGTGTTATTAGCATTCAGATGCTAGACTTCTTGTTTTGGTAAAAATGGTTACTCTTTCTTTATGTCTTTCTTGGAAAATACAATTTGCATCGAATTTTCAACGGTAGCTTGAAAAAAATAATGGATCTTTAAAAAGATTCCTTTAACTTCCTTGTTTCTTAGCCTGCAATCGCTTTTTGGTCACCAATACAGAATGTCCAGGCAAGCAAAAAGCTTTTACATGTATAAAAATATGAATCTTAACTTTTCTCAAGTTGCGTTATCTCAAATAAATGTTTATGTTGTTAAAATTTTATATTTTCTCATAGAAAAATTACATTAATAATAAAATAAATGTGAATGATTTTACATATTTCCACCTGGTTTGTTTGCCTACCTTTTGCGGTTTTTAATTAACTAATTTGGAGCGTCTTTCCAAGTTTTTCGTACATGAAAGCAGATAAAGAACTATTGCAAATTTCCTAGTGAAGATTTTTAAAATTATATTTAACTTGCAATTCTGTAAATGAAAATCCCACGATATCACAATATTAGATTTTAATATAGAAGACCGTTTATGAATCACGCAGTATTGCATTATTCACAAACATTCCTGATGTGTTTTATACCCAATACACACCTACATGCAAATTTTAGTTAAGACATCGTAATAAATACATTAAATAAACGAACAAAGTCCGATCAGGACAACAATTAATAAATTTAATAATAAGTTAATAAGTTAATGGCTAACAAAACGGAAATGTTGGCAATTTTCTGTTAAAATAATATTGCAAAATTGCTTTAGAAACTAGTCTATATGCATTTGTGGGTCACAATTTTACACATGGATCACATGTAGGTAATTAATAGCTGTTTCGACTGTTTATCAATGGTGTGGCATTCGCTCCGAAAATGCTTGATCCGAAAACTTGTTTATACACAGAATTCAATAACAAAATATATATTCTATCGTATTATATGGATTTATTTAAAATATTCATTAAACGCTGCAATTCTGAACAGCCAAATTTCTGCTTCAGTTTTCAGTGTTTTTTCTTTCAAATAGTTATCGTCTATTTGGTTAGATTTTTAAATAATGTTAAATTTTGTAAGTGTACCTGTTGTCTATGTCTAAGCTTTAAAATACATTTTCTGTTCGTAGGACACATACTTTTTGACTTAACATACGTAAGTCCGCATGGTTAAATCAATTCTTCTCAACAACTTGACCTTTTAGTATATTATATATTTCCATATTTCAACCAGAAAACCTATTGGTAGGATGGAAACGGATTATTCTATTTTTGGACATACTCGACAACGGAAAATATATTTTTCATGTTATTAGACGAGTCCGACAAAACAAAAATGCGCTAAACTTTTTACTTTTCCACTAACAAGGGTAGCAAAATAGACTAACATGTCAAATGTACAATGTTTATCTTATCGAGTGAGTTCTAAAGGAAATTGTATATCTTGGAAGAAGTTGAATGTATAATGAACACTTTCTTTGTGTCTATCAGATTTTATATTTCTAGATGATTTTTCTATCTGGCCGTATTTAGGATATTTTTCCACCTTATTACTAAAAGTTATGATACTCCAACCTGGCAATTATAACGGCTGAATTGAAACGAATATAATTTTCATACAGATGTAGTCTGGCGTATTTATGAACCGCGCCTTCAATGTTTTCTTTATCGTATCGAACCTGTCTCTAACTCTTCTAACACAATTTTTTGTAACTTTGCCTAATTCCACTCCAGAATGAAATGTAGCTTTCGAGTAGCGAAATACATAGCAGATGCGATCAGAAACCTTTTCTCTGGAAAAATATTTCGATTTTATAAGCAATAATAAAAGTTCAAGCAGAAATAAATCGCATCTGCCAAACCTAGCTTAGTCAATATTTTGATGACATCCTAAGTAGGTAATAGAGCCTCTTGTCGCCTAACTTCTATATATAGTTGGAGGCAAAATTTTCCATGATAAATGTCAATTTTCCAACAGCCCATTTCAGCTGGAAATATTAAACCCTAAAGGTATTTCCGTTTTCCCGGCTGTCGACTAGATTGGAGAAAAGATATTTTGGAGAGATTTCAGCAAGATTTAACGGGGGAATTCTATCGAAACGTCGGTCGGTTTGTCAAATCCGATTATCGAGACGGAATAAATTGAGCGTTTCATTAAGGCGGAAATCGATATTTTTTCTGTAAAATTACAAAAAAAAACACAATTCTTTTTAATTCTCACCCAAATATTAATTGTGCTATGCATATTAATTATTCTTAGTTCAGTACAAAGTGTGAACCAATTTCAAAATATTTTGCTACTTTAATTGAGGCACTTTCTTTGACATTGTATAATCTTGAAAAGGTTTACAAATGTTCGAGAAAAAATGATGAACATATTTTTTTTAATTTTTGCTTCTGCTGGAACGCATGGAAGAAAAAAATATCTAGCAGTACAATTAGTTTCAAGTCAAGTCGATGCATAGTTCCTGAAATACAAAAAAAAATCGGAATGAACGTAGAATAAGCTTTGGTAATTCGATTACCGCCACAGCCTTATGCAAGATAATGATCTGATCGCTGCTGATGCGAAACCAAACCGCCACTTAGACACGAAATCACATTTCTCCCCAAGGAAATATTCATTTCAACTAGTACTTAGCAAATTTGAATTGGAAATGCATCCGATTTTCTAATTGGGCTGTCGGGGATTCAACAATGCAGCTGTAATATGCACTGTCAGATCTA